TACGTAAAAATTGCATTATTTTCTTTTTATATTACTTTTTGTGGATATTCTTTTTGGGTAACTTTAATAGGTTTATTTTAAATTTTGAAAGCATGTCTCTTTATATTTATTATATATATTTTTTTGGTATTCTTAGTGGGCTTTTTTTAGTCTCATTAATATCATAGTCTAGAAATTTAAAAATATCTTATCTTTGACATTGAAAAATAATTATTATTCTAAACCTAAACCTCTCTTTTTGATTGGAGATTAATTGGAGGGCTCTCACTTATTTTCACAATTAACAAAGTCTGAAAACATCTTTTTGGCAAGACGTAATTTTTAAGATTTTTGAATAGATAAGTAAAACTTCAAAATATCAAACAATATATTTTCAAGAGTGACTAGTTGTCTGGTACTAATTTTCAACGAAGTAAATATTATAGACTAAATAAACACAAAATTTTCAAAATTTACTCATTTTCCCTTTAAGCATAGGAGGAAGTTATTTAAAACGTAATTCGAATTAAATAGGGTTCACAAAACCCAAAAAGGACTGTTTCCTATTTCTATTACCTTTTTTTTTGTTTTTGAATAAAAAAAAATAACAAATATATTTCCAAAGTTTCGAAAAATTGAGATTTTTAAAGTTCGGGACTTGTGCAAAATTATTCAGATACAAATATACACAATACTGTGTCCGTTCACTGATTTTTTTTAAGATTATGATTTCCAAATTTTTGAGTCGGAAAGTATTTGTATGCCCTTTTTCTGGTTATGGTATCAAGAGTTTCACTTTAAATGTACTTTTATGTTGTTAAATGCCCAAAAACTTATTACTCAAACAGCATTTTCATTTTTGCCCTACTCCTAACTCACTTCGAATTTGCGCTTTTGCGCATCCATTCTGTTGCAACAGCACACCCAGTGCAATCAGCACATATAATTTTAAGAACATTTCACAATTTTTCGCACTGTCACACTTTCACTTTGCTCGTTTTGTTTGTTGCTTGACAGTTCTTCGATCATTACTAAGCGTAAAATCGCGCCGCTCTGATAATTTATAGTCGATCGATATTTGCGAAAGGCTGACTTCTTTATTTACAAAATAAAATCCCCACTTGAGTTCAATAATTCTTATGCCGCTTGACAAAAAACGCATAAAAAAATTTCAATGGCAACAAAATGCCACAATGAAGGCTATATATTGGTAATATGAAACCTTTTCCGTTAACTGATAAGAGCATTGATGCATTGATAAAAGAGATGTCACTGAGATAAATATACCGTAATAACATCATACACCTGAATACTTTTGTATGACGCATATATGGTTGATAACTTTTGCTTTCTACAGGGTCTAATGGCTACTCTTGGCCACCATATGTATGCACATATTTCACAAAATTATGTTTTTTTCTCGAGAAAATAAATTTGAAGACAATGAAAAATTCGCAAAACCTTAGAAATTATTTTTCGAAATATACACTAGTCTATTTAACCATTGCACTTCGTAGTATTTCCTTTTACTTTAGTAGATAAGTAATGCAAAATAGCATAACATTACCAATGCACTAGCTGGCACACCAAAATAAATAAAATAATTGTCTAACAAGCAACTTGCTTTAGAAGATGTGTTTGTTTGCATTTGAGTGAAATAATTTGTGAAGTTAAAACTTACAAATTTCAAAATTTTTCGAATAAAACACTTTTTTTTTCTAAACTATAAATATTTTTTTTAATTTTTGCAAATATTTAAATATTGAAGTCAAGTGAAGTATGAAGCAATTTGGAGTCAGTATTCACGTTACGTTACGACGAACATTAAACACAATGTTTTCATTCCACAGTGGAAAAAAATATGTCACTGACTCTGTGATCGGCAGTTCTAATGGCGAAAACTGCATATACAGCGACGGATGAAAGGGTGATACAGGAAAAGGAGCGTGATTATTCTATAGTAATTCATAGAGAAGGTAGCTTTAAACTAAGTGACTGCATTTCAGTCACTTGGGCCAAAAATAACAGAAGGTGCCTAGTTGGCTTCCGCTCAAACTGAAAAGTCTTTAAACCTTCTTGTGAATAGTTAAGGCTATGCAGGTTTTGCAAACAGGCAATAACTAGAAACTCAGTAGGTCACCCAGGTTAATGCCATCTGGGTACCCAATCATATAGGAATACAAGAAAATGAGGAAACAGGCCAGCTGGCCCACACGGATTCAGCTCGAAACGTAGTTCCCCTAAACTGTCCCAGACGATTCAGCTTCTTCAAGGGTTGTTTGAAGCAAGGGAACGTAGAGGAACACCTCAGATCTTGAAACTCAAACAACATTGGACGTACCATAAACAGCTTCTAGCCAAAAGAGGAACTTTGTAATATTATAGGGGTCATCACAGGACACCTGTTCTTAAGATTCAGCTTTCAGAAAATGAAAAAAGTGGATTCAGCGGAATGTATGCAAGCATGGAGGATGGTGAGATGGTGGAACATTATCTATGCAAATGCCCAACCTTCAGCTTGATGAGACGAGATATATAATATTCCACATCTTCCAAAATTCCAACTTAAGAGGCATTGGGTACCTGAGTTGAAAAAAAAATGTTTACCAAATCCACTGATTTGCTGGATAAAGCATAATTTGGTTGTCACCCGGGAGCACAATGGGCCTATTGTTGCCCTAAGTGCAGCCGCCTGCTGCCTAATGCTCGTGCGTCTCCCTTTTTAACCAAATATTGATTAAGATTTATTTGTTTTATTATAAAAATAAAATTTTGCGTTATAAAAATAAATTTCTCACTCAAAATTTTTTATCAGAAAATAATTACGAGCACAGAGCTTGGACTCTTATAAATAAAATACTTCTAATCAAATATAGAAGAAGTATGAAGTAAGTTTTATAAGATATTCACGTGCTCACCTGCAATGAAATTGGCTGTTCGGCTTTGTTCTTGCTTCCACATGTTCCTTTAAAGAAGAGATCAGCACATGCAGGGTTTAGGAGTTGCGAATCGAACATGGCTGATATTTGACCTCATTTTCCTTATTTATAGTGTGTGAATATGTCGTCAACTAAAATACAAAATAATGGAAAATAATTTTTCATAAATTTGCAGACGAAAGAAAAACGATAAATAGAAACCACCCATTTTGAAAGAAAATGTTAGTGTTGGTTATAAAATGGTTTTATATTGGTTAACATGCACTCATATTGATTAGAGTTTTGGTTATAAAATAGTTATATATCGGTTATTATATCTGATAGCGATTTTCTGCAAAGGAAAAACTATATAATAGAAACCACATCAGTTGAAACAAAATTTGAGCTTTGATTATAAAATGGTTATATATTGGTTATATCTAACAGCGGGAGCTGAAAATTTTATGCTGCATATTGTAAAATGATGTAGTGAATCAAAAACAGTAAAAAAGTCAATTTCGATTTTTGTCATGATACGTTGTTAAAAATACATATGTAACATATGTTTAATCACGTAATTTATTATTATTTTTTTTTTTATTATATATATATATATTTTTTTTTTGTTTTTTTGACAAACCGAAAGAAACTACTTTACTTGATATGGATTCTTTCTTTTTACCTAACTTTTTATTACAATGAATTTATAGTAAATGACAGGATAAGCATAGGAAAAGCAGTAGTCCAACATAAAAGAATTTTCAGTCGTCTTCTTTCAATTATAAGTTAACAACGAAGGAGCATGCTTTGAGTATTTCTATTAAATTAAGTATATGTATAATATTAGATGAATATATTCTTTAAAAATAATTTCCAAATAAATGTATATAGAAATATACTGCCATAATTATTTCGGAATTGAAAACGATATTTACTTCAACAAGTAAACTATACTCCAGTTTATAACAGAGTAATAAAACCATTGAAGATTTGATTTTCCTTTTTTAAACACAGTTCAAATTAATTTCTGACTAAATGGCTAAACTCAAAACTCCCGCATCATCACACAAATAATCTCCGCGCATTGCTCAGCCAAAGTTTAACCAACTTTTAAGCGTGTCTTTCTACAAAATAACAGTTGTTATAAAACAATATACAAACTACATTCCTTTAATGAAGTACACATTATTTGTTTCCTTAATTTGCGCTACTATAATATTATATTCCCACGAATGCAAAAAAAAATTACAAAGAATTTAGCATAACTCACCTCACTCAATTACCACTCACCAACCGCCAATACATCAGCTACCAACACCATGCAAGTTTCCGCCTGCGCCGTTTCGTTAAGTGAGTGGCACGAAGCGGAAATTTGCAATCGTCTGGTGTTGGAAATGCAATTCTCGAAAACAGCAGCCTGCGTGCGGCTGTGTAATTGCTGCAAACACCAGTTTATTCTGGTGATTCTGAAAGTGGCACGATTTTCGTGCACCTAAAAGCAGACTACGGTTTTATGCAATTTGCTTCGAGTAACTTTTTTCGTTGGCAGTAGTAGACATGCGAAGTAGTATGCGTGTATTTGTGTGTGCATTATTGAGTTAGTGTTGTTGGGCCTTCAATTGGCTATTTGTGTTTTACCGATTTTGTGGTAAACGGCAAACGGAAATTAAGAATTTCACTAAAAATAGCTGGATTGCAGACAGAATGGCATAAAGAGAAAAATAAATAGCACACGAACGCTGGTATATGTAGATGCTTTTTAGGTATTTGTTAGAGGTTTAAGCAATTTTTTTAATTTTTAGAGTTAGAACTACAAATGAGCGATTTACATAAACACAATATTTTGAAAGATATATCAGTTATTTCTGCCACACATAGTTATGTTAAAGAAATAAATTATATATAACAAAATTAAATTTTATTTTCTTATCGCTTAATAACTTATTTTGCTTACTTTACGTATTATGCTTAAACTATTTCAATGCTAGAGCTTTTAACATTTAATCTAGCTTTCGGTGTGCTTTCAAAAATAATCACTATAAAAACGTTTACAAGTATACTTCATTATTAAATAAACATATTTTTCTTCTACTCTCTCCACAGATCCACCAAATCGGAAAAAATGTACCCTTCGATGTTGAGTCGCGGCCCCGATGTCGAAATCGAACCCTACTACTGCCTGCCTGTGGGCACATTAGCCGCACAAAATGGCTCGTTGGCAGCGCAAATGGCCGCTGCAGCAGCGGCAGCAATGTCACAGGTGACTGGACAGCCAACAGCGAGTGCTGGCGGCGCCCCCGTAGCCTGGAGCCAACCGACTTCACCCACACCCATTAGTCGCGGCTTCGGTGGCACACTCTCACCGACACATCCAGCCGGCTTGCCTGGTCTGGTTGGCCTCGTGGGTGCGCCGGGCAGCGCCAACGCCAATGTGGCAAGTCACCGTCTCACATATCCCAAGAAGAATGATGAGGGTGAGTATTCGTGTATTTTATGGCGTATTTAATGAAAAATAATGCTAAAGACCATTTATTAGCAAATATTAAATATATATTTATATGTGCTTTTTATTCACCTTTAGTGCATGGCAGCGCTGCATCGTTGCTCTCCGGTGGCAGTTCGTTGTACGGATCAGCTGAGGAGCGTCAAGCGAACGAGATACGTCGCTTGAAGCGTGAATTATTGGATGCGCGCGAACAGGTGCTGAGCTTGAGCAGTCAACTGTCAACAAATGTGAGTAGCTGCATATTATTATTAATGATGATTTATATTAATTATTATGAGGAGTGTTTCGTTAGTTTGAAGTGTTTTTTTTTTCGATTGCCATATATAACTTTTTCAATAATATATCTTCATGCTGATGCCAACTCTTCAATGTTTTTCTAAATGATATTCTGATAGTTGAAAGAAATAGCGAGAGTAGTCAAAAAATATTGTGAAAACATTTAATATTGCTTTTATGCACTCACAATGCAAGCGCGTAGCTTATTCGTAAGAAAATGTAGCATACATTTAGGCAGTAGATAAAGAAAAGTATGTAACTAACAACGAATAAGCTGGTAAATATCGCAAGGGCTAATAAAAATAATGTTTTGAAGTGATTTTCCTGCATAAAAATATTGAATTTGTGAAGCTTTAATATTCACAAATAAATACTTATTATCATAAAAAACAAATATTTAAAAATAAATATTTAATATTGTATTATAAAAAAATAAAATATATAAAATAATTTAAAGCCCTTAAAGCTAAAATTAAATTATACACATTTCCTTAAAAAGGTAAAGCCGTTAAATATCTGTTTTATCACCTTATCACCAACAATGCCTATAAATAAAAGTTCGCAGACATTTTTAAGCTTCAAGCACACCTTACAATGCCGTAGTCATCACTGTGCCTTACATTAAAAGCGCAAGACATATTTTTTATTATTTCATATCAACGCCGTCTACTTGTTGTCTGTCAATGCCTACTTAAGATAACCAACTCGAAATGGAAAAAGTTTTCCGCCAACAGAGATTGTCAACACAAAGTCACAGACGCGCAGGCAACATAAAATTTACGGCCAGTTTTTCATATAAAGCCTTACTCCTACAAATATCTACCTATATTTAGATATCTACCTATGTATTAGAGCGGATCGATTTTTTTCAGTAAAGTAGCCTATGCGGGAAATATTTTATGGCTCAATGTAAACAAGTTTGCTTGAGCGACTATAAATCTGAAACCGGTTTCGAGAAAAACGATTTCTAAGGCGAGTTTAAAAAGCTGAATAACCAGTTTTATGGCAGATATGTAAAAAAGTTGTCTGATCAGGCCGATGCCGACAAATGATCAATAGAATATCGAAATACATCTACTCATTAAATTTCAATTAGAAATCTCAAAAACTGACGTATATACATTTTATAATCCGTTGAAAACATCGCTGACCCCAACCCAGTTTTAGGCAAGTAATATCTTAGGCAAATTTATTCAGAATGATTTACAGAACATTTCTCGCATACGAGATTTTTCCGTTTCTTGTCTCCCTGTAAATCGACCCACTCTAATATTTATATCTGAGTGCTTGTATTAACTTTTTTGACAAGCTGCCAAAATGTGTCTGGCAAATGCGCAAAAGTACGCGCATAAAAATCAGGAAGCGCGAAATGGCAGTCAAAATACAAGAGGCACATCTTAGGAATAACGCGACAGCGTTACGTTGGCAAGTGGTCGCCATTTTTTCAAGCAGCTAAATTTGAACAATAATATAAGAAATGTATGTACATCTGCTAATGGCTTCAACTTACATAGTTAACAATGAATTCACCAACTTTAAAGATAACATTAAATTTAAATTATTTTATGAAAAATATTTTTTTGTTTAAATTTTTATTTATACAAAATGTTTTACAAAGTTAATTTAGTACGTACATATTTTATTATACATACAAATTCCCATGGTGTGGGAAATGGTCGGCGACTATACACACTATACACTTTGTCAGCGCAATGACTTATATCAATTTCTTTTATAGTTACAGCTCACTTTTAGGCGTTAGCTAAAAATTTTTCTTTGCCATTTCCTCTTTAACTTTTGAACAGTTGCTCCAATGCCTTTACCAATTGCTTCGTAAAAAATTATTCCGCTCGGCTTTTGCTCGCTCTTCAGACACTTTTTAAATCTCAATACGTTTTAGTATTTCATTGATTTTTTTGTGTGAATTAAAATCACATTTTCACTGTCACCAGTCACAAACTGCAGACAAAACTTGAATTCGCAAGCAAAAGGTTAAAAAAATTTGAAATTCTATCGTAGAACAGACAGCCTTTAATTGTATCTTCCCCTTTTCTTGCTTTATTTTGTTCATGTGTAAGTGTATAACAATGTTTAGTGACATTTTTCGACTTTCTTTTCAATTTTCTGGTTGACGATTTTTCGATTTTTCACGATTTGGCTGGAAAGTTTGCAACTACTGTCCCCATATATACCTATATTGAAGAATATACGCTTTTAACTTTTTAACTCCCCGCATTTATCATTAAAACAAATTATAACTATAGAACTATAAAAATGTGTTTGTTGCCGTTAAAAAGTACTCGGTTTTGTTGCTCAAACCAATTCACTTTTTACTCGTATTTGTACGCAGTGAAGCGCAAAACTGCATTCAATTGTAGTGGAGTGTAAATTGAAATGAAGCTGCATGGCAACTCTTTGGTTGATAGCGATAATTTTTTTTTTATGCTTCTTTAGTAAATTCCATTGTGATTATGCCGAAAATGGCAGTTTGGCTGCATTTTATGCGGATTTTTTGCATAAGTCGAAAAAGGGAGTACTCAAATAGCTAGTTTTGCTGTTTAATTGAGTTTTGAAATGTCAAAATTGATAAGAAAATAATTTCAATAAAAAAAATGTAAATATAGTATATATTCCCAATAATATATTTCTTATTCATACAATTTTTCATGTTTATTATATTTAAAAAAAAATCAAAAGTAAAAAAGTTAATTTTCATAAATCAAATTTTGCAATAAAAATTCCCAAAAAAATAATTTCTTGAATTTCTTGGTTAACTAAATATTTCTGTTTTAGTTTTACCTTCGCCTGTTTGCTTTGATAAAAAATATATTGTTCTTTTTATATCCGTGTTTTAACCTGCCAAGTCAAAAGAAACACTCAACTTCTTTACTCAGCTTACTAAACCGTCCTTCCAACATTAACCACTTTTATTAACCATTGCTGGTTTCTAAATGAAAACTTTAATGCATTTAAGAAAAAGTTTTCACCATTTGATTAAAGAAGTTTTAACGCATTTCTGCCGGAATTATTAAAATTATCTACCGCAGGTAGCTCTTAACTATTTAATTAAATTAAATTATATTTCTAAGCTATTTCTTCAACTCTTAATATTCACCATTAAATTTTCTTATTAATATTTCTCATGATACTGGTCAAAAATACGCAGAATAATATAAAGTTTGCCTTCATGTAATTTTCTCGGTAATGCTATTTTTTCTCCATTTTACTCGATTTTATTGTTGCTTTGCGTCGTGCTGCTTTGTGTTCGCTGCTTACTCGACATTGAAAGTTGTCAGCTTGCTTGTGGCTCTTGCAACAAAAGTCATTCCATTTAACGATACTTTGAAATTCTGTCAATGAAGCGCTTATCAAAAGGGTTGCGAAAGTTACTAAGTATAAAGTTTGTGTTCGCAAATTAAAAGCAAAATGCAAGAAACTATAATCTTGAAAGTTTTATATTTTCACATCTGGAAAGTGAAGAGGTAATTTCAATATTAAAAGGAGATCTGAAAGAAAAGGGTAGTATTCTATGGATCGAAAAGTATGTTATAGAATTTTTAAAGTCTTGCTCTTCAAAAAATAATAATACAGATAACAAAAAGAAAGTAACTCAAGTTAATCTGGCAGGGCAATAAGCAACGCATAGACCAGTTTGGTTCTTTGCGATACCAGATGGTGCTCAGTTACCAAGTACAAGAGGAGTAGTCAACGTTTAGGATGCCTGCGCTTGACGCGAATTTTAACAGACACTTTGTCCTCACTGTCGGTACATCCTCCAGTGTATCATACTGTGGGAACCCCAGATGCTTTCTATGCGGGACAAGAGATGCTCCATTGTTTCCCTGTTGCCCTGCTCTAGGCATTTCTTGCAGTTTTCTCGATCTGTTAGCCCCATCTTGCGGCCGTGTGTCGCCACCAGACAGTAAGTGGTTAGTATTCCGATCATGTTCCGAAATCTGTGTACGGCCGATTTACCTTTTTGCACATTACTTTTGTAGTTTTGCACCCTGGTAGCTCGTTCCATCGGGTTTTGATTTTCTTCACGTTTTCGGATGTTAGCCTTACACCATTGTTGGCAATCTCGTCCACTATTTGATTGCCCTCGCTTCCTTTGTGGCCTGTCATCCAGTAGAATTTATTAATTTATTCAGACTTTATAGCTGCAATGCTTCCCAAGACACTTCTGGTCGATGTGCGGTACGACGTTACTGTCTTGGTTGCTGCTTGGCTACGTAGACTTTGACTCTGGAATTGACTGCAGGTGTATTAGAGGCCAGCTCCTCGGCTTTCTCAATGGCAAAGCCTTAGCTTGATATATATTCCATTGGACTGGCGGCTTAAAAGGTTGCCTTATACCTAACTCAGTATATTACAGCATCCATCGTCAATTTTCGAGACATCAGTACAGATGCTTAGAGGGTTGCGCGTACTGACATATATACATACCTTCACGCCAGCCATCTTTCTCTATGTTTACTTTGAACCTTCTTTCCCAGTTGAAAAGTGGGGTAATTAAGTCGGTGTTTGCCCAACCGCCATTAGCCACCGAGCCTCTGAGACCTTTCCATTGGCCTCTGCTAGGTGGATTTCTGTACGCCTGTCCACCAAACTACTTCACCGTAGAGCAGAACCAGTGCATGAGAGAGGGAGAAGCCCCAGGTTGTGCCGATCGTGTTTTGTTATCCAAAACACTTTTTGTTATAAAAAAAATCACTTATGTAAAATATGGAACATTAAATAGAAAAGAATTTTTGAAGGCTTCCTATCCAAACAATCAGTGTTACTTAGGTTCCCATTATACACCATTTATAGAAAAGCAATCGTCAAAGATGCAAAAATTATATTTTCAGAAAGAAAGCTGCATGGTAAACTTGTATCCAAGTAGTAAAACATTCCTTACAGTAGCCTCCAACCAAGGCAGCTAACTGTAATCCATAACTTTTTTAGCGCT